TAAACTGTTTAGCAAAATAGAAAAACTGATGGAGAATGTTTAAAATATGAAACTCCATCTTCTCACTGCTAAGCCCCGCCTTCTTCCGAGAAGGTGCATCTTATAGTCCAAAAATACGGTAACCAAAACCAAATTCTTAAGACATTTTCATATTTTTTTAAACAAATATTCATCACTCAAAAGAAACCTTTCTATCAGCACTTTCATATTTTAAACATTCTCCATCAGTTTTTCTATTTTGCTAAACAGTTTATAAGGTTTATCTAGTTTTTCTTTGCTTTTATATATAACTTGTTATCATTTGCTCCATTTTTTCTATCAAACATCACTACCTTGGTTTTGATACGTTAATGTTCAGATTCCTACCACAAGTTGAATCATGCAATCCAAAATTTAATACACATAACTTGGGACCGCCTCCAACAACATGAACATAACACTATTATCTGGTTTGTTACTGCTCTGTACTTATTTTTTTCTACTAAATTTTTTTCTCTTTCATATCCTTTCAATCAGAATTCCTGCAAACAACTTACAGTTTTCATTTTTCAGTTCCACTCTTTGACATTTCATTATCGCTTTCACAAAATTATCTAAAGCATTCTAACAGAATTTTATCCTAAATAAAATTCATGTTTAATTCATTTCAATTTGCCAAAGGCTCACTGCTCTTTCTTTTTAGCCGCTTAAAACAATGTACGCTGTTTTATTTTTTATCAAAACAGCCATTCTTCACATCTTTAAATTAATTTAACACTGTATCTTCTTTTTCAGCATTCAGTATTTTTATATAATCTTCTTCTCCACAAATTTGTTTCCATATATTTTGGTAGCATTGTGTAACAATTCTTTCCACATTCCTTTTTATGTGTACTTTTCATTAATTTTTTTTGAAGATTAATTTTCATGCAGAATTTGAACTTTCTCTTCCTGCACTTCAGTTTCTTTCTCCCCCCCCCCACTTTTCTCTCATTTCTTCCAACAGATAAGGTACTGTCTCACATTTAGTATCTCTCATCAACATTGTATCTTAAATGGATTATCTTGATCTTTCATCAGGAACAACCAAATGTATCAGACTTTATATTTATATTCGGTCTTTTGCCATGTGTTCATATTGTCTTATGTAGGAATCATGTATTCAAAACCCAGACATTTTTCTAAGTAGGTATTCACAATCATCATTCTCACTCATGAATATCTGAATGGCCCAATCACTTGTTCTGTATCTCATTCTTCCTCACCCACTCATGTCACAGAATAACCTCCCCCCCTCCCAATATCTTCTTTCAAAATAGTACAGAACTTTAATTAAAACCCATGTCAGCATCTTCTATTATTACCATTCACTGAACTGCAACATAAAACTTTACCACAAATATTTGGATTATAATTTTCTTACATTATCACAATAATATAGATGACATCTGTTCATTCATAATTAAACCTACTTCTTTAGCCCCTTCCTTATATTATGGGCTACTACACTAGTTCAGATCACCTTCCTTCAGACCTACATCCTTGTCCTCTCTTAATTTCATGGACATACAACATACTGCCCCTTTTTTTCTTCAATGTCATTCATTAATGTGACTTCTCTAAAATTTCAGTCTTCTTCACTGTCAGAATGGTCCTTAAATAATTGGCCTAGGTTATTTAAGTTTTCACATAATTGTCTTTAGTAAGATAGAGAAGCTATAGCTATGTCACATATAGTATTCTTACTAATTCCTACTAATGATAACAAAAGTATCATTTTCTTTGGTATATTTCGGACAGCATGATGTAATAATAGTCAATCGAAGCCCAGTTTTATGTATTTGTTTGTTTATTAAACCTATATCACACCCATATCGCCTAGAAGCAACTCTAGCTTTACCTAAACAAATTCATATTATTCTATGCAAACCATGGTTTCTTACCTGGACACTTTGGAAATTGACCTATGGCTGGCCACATCTTATTAGCTAGGAAGGATATGTGATAACACTGACACGTACATAGGACTTGTAAAACAGTCAAATATACTGACATATAGTCACAGCTCAGAAGTGAACAGGAATAAACAAATGTATAACGTACGCCAAATCCAGCAGCTTTTTCTTTCATATTAAGTATGCAAGTAGTTAAATTATTTTAAAAAGTGACTAAATCTTACCAGGTACTAAAATAGTAATAGCCGTCTGCACAGCTTTGCGGATTATGCTATCCAGTGCAAACATCCAATGTGGTTTAATATTGTGGGTTCGTAGAACTTTATTCACCTTGAAAGAGATACCAGAATGACGAAACTATTATTGATCTGTAAACAACATCATGTAGATAATTCAATCTGGATATACCATGTTTACTACCACCACTCTACCTAAATAATCAGTTCATCATCTAACTAGTGATCAATATTTGAAGAGCAAAATACTTCTGAAAGACAAATTTGTATCCATTTGTATGAATTCACTTAATTTATAATTTCTTTCTACTAACCAGTATAACACAAAATGTTGTGTTATTTTAGTTCCTTAAAGAACAATCTGTATAATCTGTATCTTCTATGCAGACAAAGTCTTTCGTATTTAACAATATCTAAACGTGTGAATCTATTATTAAATCTTCAATACAATGTTTTCTGAGTTAGCAAATATATATCACACAATAATAAGAAGCTATAATTCACTTGACAGAAGGCATGCAACTATAACACCTAAACAAACATTAGGAATCTACAAATATTTAATAATATTCTTATTATTCAATTTTGAAAGCAGTAAAAGATTTCTATCCTTCTTCCCAACATTTGGGCTGGAGAAATGAATGATACCCTTCTTCTCTAGATCTCAAAGATCAGAGAAAGTTGCATCATGTTCACCAAGAAACAGATTATTTGCCATAATATACAGAAGTAGAAGGATTCTGCCTCAAGCTATCATTATTAAACAGATGCACATGCACAAATTCATCTAAACCAGGGGTGTAAAACTTACAGCGTCACATTGTCATCATATGACGCATCATGACTTCTCCCCCCTTTTGCTAAACTGGTGATGGACGTCGCCAGCATGTGACACATCTGGCCTGCAGGTCACGAGTTGACACACCTGATCTAAACTGAATAGTCTCCTCTAAAGAAATTTTGAAATGGTTATATTCTTCATGACAGGCCATGTCAATGCATCTGAAGATCATATGCTGGGAGAGTAATGGGCTTCCTTATTCAGTTGGCTGGCCACTGCTGGACTAGATGGGCCAAGGATCCAATCCAACAAGGATTGCTTATGTTCTTAAAATTAGCAAAACAAGCCCAAAATATACTTACTGCATCTTGGAAACCAAAGAGTACTAACTGAACTTGGCTAATGCCATGACTGTCGAAGTCCAGCTCCAGTTTCAGCTTTGAAAGTGTATTTGCAATGATTTTGCGATCTGTAGATCTTACAAATTCTCGGAGGCTAGCAACTAAAGTTGTAATGTGTTCCCATTTCAACTTAAGCTCTTCAGGACCCTGTTAGAACAACAAAAATAGCTAAATTCATTTGTACAACTCTGGTTAGTATTAATAAAAATTAAGAATATAGCTCCCTATTCAAATTCTGCATGTGTTTATTTATTTGCTACCCATCTTGTAATGAAACTATATATTTCAACGAAGTTTCCCCCCCAAAACTGTATTACATATATTTTTTTGTGGTTTACTAAGTGAGCATTAAAACCAAGAGGCTTCAGTTAATGATATATGTATACCCCCTATTATATATGGTCCATGATCTGACAATAGACTAAGAATGCTAGTATAGTAAGGGTGAGATTTGAAAGAATTACTATGGTGTTTATATTCTGTTTGAAGTGTGGTATATGATTGGGACTGTTGGAAACAGGATGTAAAATTCTGGAATGAGAGAAACATAATGTAAGTCACAAAGATTCAATTTGAAGAGAACATAATAATGTTGTTTTCAGTTATTATGAGTACAAAATAGTTCATCCAGTAACTCAGTCAACATTAGTAAAGTTTACAAGATCACTTCAGTAAGAATTAGCTTAAATTGTTTCCATCCTCTACAATTGTCTGAGGAAGGAACAATTTAAAAAGAAGCCCTTGGAAGAATTAATTTGCCTTTGAATAATTAAAACTGAGTCATAAAAGGGATTGGAAGCATATCAAGTATGCCTTTCTATGTGAAATGTCACTGGAGAATGTTACTTTGAAGCAAACCATTTCCATTTTTTTTCTTGTAAATTCAAATGTTTACTAGAAATGATAAAATTAGAGTCATTGGCGTAATAGTTCAGACTGAACAGCACTGGAACAGATCTATATATCCACAAGGAAACTCAGATTTGACATAAACATACACACAGTTGAATCATGGAATACCAAAGTAAATGAACTAAGTGCCATCTATCTATTAAAATGCAACTTCAGCAATCTATTTGTACATTGTCTTTTTTTTTAATAACACCTACAATCAGTTCCATGTTTCTGCTGCTCTTGTTAATTTCAATATTAATATTAATATTCTGAAAAATATTCAATGCTAAAATAGATTTTAAAAGGTTTTTGATATATACATTGATAACAGAGGATTTTAAAAATTAATATTCAAATGAGGCCAAACTTTTTCTTTTAAACGGATAAACAATTAGGGAAAGAAGATTATTTCAATATATTATTACTGCAATGAGATTAGTATATGCACAAAGATGCAAAGATTGAACACTCCCCACTACGGATGAACGGTTGGTGATATTGACAGAACTTGCCGAGATAGACAAACTAACTTCTTTGATTAGAGAAAGGACAATATCTACATTTATTGGTGCTTGGAAACCTCTAATGTGTAAAAATGAAAAAAAATGAAGTTGTGATTTATGGTTTTGATGATTAGACACAACAGATTATAGAAAGTCATGATATATCTTTAGAGACAGAGGTTCAAATATAATTGTAGCTATGATTCCTGTGTGGAATATCACTCCCTTATACCGTTGTATCTTTATATTTTTCTCTTTTTTCTTATTTTCTATTTTCTTTTCTAACTGCACTTTTAGCTTTTTTATTGCTTATTGCTCTCCTTTTTGTTTCTTGCTTTTAATATAGTTTGCACTAGTCCTATTACTGCTCTTTAAATTTTTAACAAAAATTTCACACACACACACACACACACACACTCACACACCACCTCTTTCATATTCTTCAGATTAGCTGTTTCAAGTGGTCTTTGATTAAAATTTGTGCATGTGAAATAAAACTGATTCTTCTGGCAGTTTGGAACCCAAAGGAGAACCATACTCTCAATGTGGCTTTTTCTAGTCCTGATCTTCCAAAATGACTTTAATTGTTGTCTTAAAAGCTATAAACTTCAAAAAAAGTCTGAAAACTATGGACAATTGCATTATACAATTGTTACATCCAAAAGTGTAACATTCCTATTTACAGTTTACAGTTGTCTTTTTAATTTTTAATTGATTACACTGTAACACTTATACCAATAATACTTTTTCCAAATTGATATAAAATATACAGAAATAAGTGATTCTGAATAACGTTCTCAAAATATTTCAGCAACATTTGTCACTGCATATCTACTGCATAATTTGACTTTGTTATTTTATTTTTTATAAAATCAAGATAACCTAAAATTTTGCCATTGATTTATAAATAATACCAATGATGACTTAACAGGAAACCCCAAATAATATTAACAATGCAGAAACTTAAGCATATACAATTTGTACAGTATTTAACTCTTCTATGCCTTATTTTGACAAATATACAGAATTTTTTTTTCTGGTTTGGATAATTAAAATATATCAAATTGTCAGGGATTCATTATTTTTCTGCATAATTCCAATAACATTTTCAGAAGGGATGTCTCATGCGTAAAACCATTACATGAGTGAGCATTAATGGCAAATAAGTAAAGGTACAACTATAGTTTAATCTTGCAATTATTTGCACTTAAATATATTTATTCTCTGCAGGATTCCTAAAAACATGCCGATGATCACCTGTAAAGAAATATGTCACTACAATATTATATAAACTTGCAATATGTTTTGATCCCAACATACTATCCAATGTATTTTGTTTTAAAAATAATGCTAAACATATTACATATGTTTCTTTACCTGAGCTAAGGCTTCCATCAGATTTCTCACTACCTTATCCTGGTCTTCTGTTAGAATTCTGTGAAGGGTAGCTCTTCGTTCACTGTCCTTTTTTAGCATAAAAAAGCCAGAATCCTTCTCTTCTGGTGAAGGAGGAGCACTGTGATCCTCAAAATTCTCATCTGGGATGCTGTGAATATTTAACAGTACAAACGATCATGAAGAAATCCCTTTTTTAAAAATGATTTTCTTTTTCATAACCTAGCATGGATATAGACTAGACTAGACTAGACTAGAATTCTTTATTGGCCAAGTGTGATTGGACACACAAGGAATTTGTCTTTGGTGCATATGCTCTCAGTATACATAAAAAGACAAGATACATTCGTCAAGAATCATAAGGTACACCTTAAGAGCCAAGGTGGCGCAGTGGTTAAATGCAGCACTGCAGGCTACTGCTAGATCAGCAGGTCAGCGGTTCAAATCTCACCGGCTCAGGGTTGACTCAGCCTTCCATCCTTCCGAGGTGGGTAAAATGAGGACCCAGATTGTTGGGGGCAATATGCTGACTCTCTGTAAACCGCTTAGAGAGGCCTGAAAGGCCTATGAAGCGGTATATAAGTCTACTGCTATATTAATGATAGTCATAGGGTACAAATAAGCAATCAGGAAACAATAAATATAAATATAAATCAAAAGGATACAAGCAACAGTTACAGCCATGCAGTCATAAGTGGGAGGAGATGGGTGATAGGAACGATGAGAAGACTAATAGTAATATTAATATTAATATCACTTGGACAATTACCTTAGGAAAAGAGACCTTAGTCCTTTCCCTTCCTTATCACCACAGGATTTGGCTCTCATTTTAAAGGAGAAGGGATCAAGTTTCAACTCATTGTCAGGTGAAACTGAACCATATTCACTGCTACTGCTTGTGTCTTCTACAAGAACAGGAACAGGCAAGGATATGCTTCGAAGATATTCTGCTCAATGAAACAGGAAATAAAGTATGATCAAGATATATATGGAGAGCAAACTGTAACAAAACAATTCTCCCCAATGCATATAATCTATCTACTAAGATCTCCCAAAGGTTATATTATCTTGGATGAAAGAATTGTATTAACTGCGTACAATTCCAAAATGATGGCAGGAGTGCAGAAAAGAGTTCTCTGTGGTATGAAAAAGTACAGTAGTACCTTAGTAGTCATCATTAATTGGTTCTGTGAGATGCTATGAGTACCAAAAACAATGAGTGCGAAACAATTTTTTCCCATAAGGAATAACATAAAAGTCACAAGGTAGCCGACATCAACAAGTTCTAAGTTATGCATTGAGTACCAAACAAAAAATGAATACTGGGGCAAAATTTCCACGTCAAAATGCATTGAGTACCAAATATATATGGAGAGCAAACTGTAAAAATTGAATATAAGTATATATTCTATATACTAAGACCTCCAGGAGTTTTCTTGGATGAAAGAATTGTATTAACTATTTCAAAGCAGTTGAGTATTAATATATTACAGTATCTCACTTTTAACAGGATGGCATAGTTATAATGTATCAGTTGCCTTTTCAACTCTGCATTATAAAAATAAACTTTCTAGTATGTCAAGATAGATAGATAGATAGATAGATAGATAGATAGATAGATAGATAGATAGATAGATAGATAGATAGATAGATAGATATGGACAAACAGACAGACACACACACACACACACACGTGTCTCTCTGTGTGAGAGATATGTAATATATGTAAATTCAAATGATTTTTTGCAATATTTCTTAGAAACGTCTTCTTGTTACATATATTTATAGCTTTATTTCTTGTGAGTTAAACCTATCTGAAATTTCAGAACATTTTAAAGCATCTCAGAAAAAATATTAATTGCTAAACTTACCATTTGATCCAGCTGTCAGAGCTGTGAAAATAAAACAAAAATAATGTAACATTCAGAATTGCTCAAGTCAAACAAACTTGATATAATAGGGCTCCAATGCAGTTAAACTTTGTATTGTCAAATTTCTACTAAAAGAATGGAGATACTGTATTTATGCAACACACACATATGTAATATTCTAAAAACATTTGGCAAAACTCATTACTCCAAAACCATATCAGTTAGTGGGTACCGACTTGCCATTTGAAAAAGACTGTCAAGTAACCTGGCTTTGTTAATAATGACTTCTAATAATCTAAGATCTCCCAAGTAGAACAGTTGGATTTCTTCACCTGTTAGTTTTGACTGTGACTTTCTTTTTTTGCTGGTGACTTTTAAGAACTCATCTACAAGAAGCTCATTAGCACAGGTCCTCTTGTCTGGATCAGGTTCAAAGCACCTCAGCAAAAAAGCTTTTGCCTCCACTGACATGGATTCTGGAATCTCAGGATGTATTTTGAACATTCCAACCTAATAAATGCAGATGAAAATCAAATTAAAACAACAACACCACAGAAGCAGATCGTTCATCTTTTGAAGTGCTCTCTTTTGTGCTCTCATTAGCAGATGGATATAACAGTCTTTTGTTCTTTGATAGATATTATTTTAAAAGATAATCCAAATAACATTTTAGCATTTTGTTTTCTATGGTATGTTTTCATCTTCAGTTGAATCTAAATATTAACAAAATATGGTGTAACATTCCCCCTCTAGCCAGTTATCATATTATCTTGTTTTTTTTCAACACAGCCTTGACATAGTTTATTTTCCTTTTTCATTCCCTTTTCAGGAAAATGTAATTATCTAAACTAACCTTAAACATGGCTGCTTGTGGTTCTCCTAGTTCATAAAATGGAGGCTTTCCTGTGGCCATTTCAATAATTGTACAGCCTAAGGACCAGATATCTGCAGCCTTTCCATAACCTCTTGGTCCTTTATCAATTATTTCTGGTGCCATATACTGAAGAGTACCTGTGAAAAACAGATGTATTTTATGCATATTTAATAACAAATTAAAAGAAGGCATGTACTAAAACAAATGAATTCTAAGATTTTACATATACATTTATGTCACTGAATTTAGTATTTATATGGCACATTATATAGTTTTAAATGTCTCACCTACCTTTCCCTTTTCAGGCTCAATTATCCTAGTTTAATAGATTGCATTTGATACTAGCCTTGTACTTATTATCTGTCTTTAAATGCTTCTAATCTAATCTATCAACTATAGTCAAATCAGCAAACAATGATTGAATTCCTCTTTACAAACTAAGACATGAAATTAAGATCATAAAACTGCAATTAAACAAAACTAAAAACTGATTTTTTTTCCTTAAATGGAAAAGGGAACATTACAAGAAGAATGTAATTATAACCTTAGCTTATATAAGTTGAATGCCATGTCAAAAGTAGGCTATTTTATTGTCCCTAAAAATGCTATAGAAAAGATAGATCAAGGCATTTTTCCACTGCACATAGGATTTTTTTGGGGGGAGGGGGGAGTTAACAGAGGCTATTGATTTATAATTTTTTCATCCTTTTCCTGCAGTGCGGGAAGGAGAATGCCATTAACCTTTTATATATGTGTGTTTTCAGCAAGAGCAGATATTACCTTAAATATTATGTTATGTCAAACATGCATTAAAAATAATATCCATCCTGTCTAGTTTGGGTATAAGGAACAGCACTGAAATAACCATACAAGGATAGCCATGTGATCGCCTGAAGATTTCAGGACTGATCTGTGAACAGATTTGGAACATGAATAAAATCTGGCCATCCTTTAAAAAAATATTATTCAATGCACATTGAATATTATTTTCCAAAATAGATCTCCAAAAAAATAAAAAATGTCTTCGCTAACAACAAACTCTGAAGTTATCATATAAGAAATAAAAAGCAAGAAAATATTGAGTTTACAATTGTAAAAATTATTGTGTGTGCTGGCATGACTTTGTATTTTTTGATTCAGGACCAAGACCATACGACTAAAAAAAACCTAGTTTTTTTCTACCTGATTTTGTTGTGATTTTGTAATAGTTTTAAGGATCACTGGGCTTAGTTCCATAGTAGTCTCAAAAGTAGTCCACTACAATAAACATACACGAAAAGAGCTATTCACACATTATGCTGTCTTGGAAGAGCTACCAAACAGAAAGCTTACAAATATCTCAATGACAGAGCAATAATTTCCATAATATGGTTCAGCATAGGTGTCTGTAACATGCTGTATACATAGGTGTCCTGAATGCTATATGACACAGGCCAATAGAACAACTGGGTGCAATTGGGATTTTTTAATGCTATTTTGAATAGTCCCCACTAGGTTTTTTTCAATATATTCAGTAGTAAGAAAGATTGGAAATGGAATCCAACATTTGGGAATACAAAGTACAGAATGGCTAATCACAAAGCTATATCTATTAAATTTAAAAACTCCAACTAAATCTATTCACTGCTTCAAAGTTACATTTATATTGTTTTTATTTTCTATGAGAAATATAAATTCAGTATAAAATGTAATACATTTTTGTAAGTGCATGCAAATGCCAGCCATAATGTTGAATATTGAGACAGAACACACACAATTCCTAAGCCAGCTAATGTTATGCTTATGTATGGCCTTTAATTGGACCAGAATGTCAGACTGATTAAATAGGCTGCACTTCCTCTAAATCAGGTTCTCAACCTTCCCAATGCCGCGACCCTTTAATACAGTTCCTCATGTTGCGGTGACCCCCAACCATAAAATTATTTTCGTTGCTACTTCGTAACTGTAATTTTGCTCCTGTTATGAATCGTAATGTAAATATCTGATATGCAGGATGTATTTTCATTATTACAAATTCAACATAATTAAAGCATAGTGATTAATCACAAAAACAATATGTAATTATTTATTGTGAAATGGTTTGCTAATGAATATATTATAATATAATAAATATAATAAATATCATATCATATAATCTCATATAATATCATACAATACTATAATACAATACAATACAATACAATAATATAATACAATATAATATAACCTCTAACCTTGTTACAAAAAGTCCATGAAACATTTCAGTTGGTAACAAAATAAAAAAAAAAAAAGAGAAAGACAGTAAAAAAAAATGGGTCAAAGAGAAATACAGTACTAGGTTGGATA